TATCATATGAGTGATTGTCCGCCGGCGTCCTTCGTCCGTGTCAATGTTTTACTTTTTCGACTTTTTCTTAGAAACTACAAGTCTGAATGCTTTGATACTTGGTGTATATGTACCTTGGGTACACCTCTCTTAGGTTTGTTCTTGTATATATATATATATTATATAAAACCCAACCGAACCCGGAAATCGACGGCAAATCGGGTTGGTCTCATAATTTCTTACCTTGTTCTTTACGTTTATGGGAATAGTGATTTTTATTTTATTTCAATTAAACAGCAATTTGACTGTGGCCATGCATTTAGTCATTGTCTACTGTTTTTCTCGAATTGGTTGATTGTCATAGTAACATACGCTAAGTACAACTGAACGTACAGTTGAACAGTAGTCATTTATATGGTTCAAAATAAACAAACATGAATATTTAATTTAGTTTAATTCCTTCAGTTAAAAGTAGTTTCCTAAATAAATAAATAAATAATAACACGTACCCTCATGTATACTTTAAATTTGTATTAAAACAAAGTCAAAGTCTTTGAAATGTTTGGACATGTAGATTTAATTTTTAATGAAAAACTTTTCTACCTGTAGTTGCATTATGTTTAATACATCTAATATAAAATCTATAATTATTTTCTCATAAAAATCTTCATAATTCACTCATTTTTATGTCATTTTTTTATTTCAGCCTTGTATATACAGAGAAGGCTTGAACTTGCCCCGTTAAAAAATGCTGTTTCTGATACTCGCACAGACACGGGAGTTCTTCCTCAGCTTTATCTGCTTTTATGCCTGTTCGCCAATCCATTGCTCCAAAATATACCTTTAAATAGTCTCAGCATCGAGATGGCTCTGCCAACTCTTGTAATTTTTCAGATATTGGTAAAAAGTGGCTTAAAATATGCATTGGTTTTACCACAGTTCCTCAACACCCGGTCAGGAAACGCTATTGTTCTAATGTGTGAATCGCCCGAGTCCTGTTAGACTGGCAAAGTCGAGACTTCTTGTTAGTTTTACAAAAATAAATAATTTATTGTTTTTTAGTCCTTTTAGCGTGATCGCAAAAACTAACCTGGCCGCTAAAGAAATCCCGACTGGACCCACCTGCGGGCACTCGACTGATATTAATTATTCATGATGTCATTGATTATTCATGAGTGGGTGTGTGAAAGTAAACGTAACCTTTTAAAAGTTGATTCGATTCGATCCAGAGATGGATACTTTAACTTTTTCAAGTGAAACGGCGATACTTTCATCCATGTTTACTGAAAACAAGTTGATTTAAATGTCAAATGTATATAAGTAGTCTTTCAAAATCGCCGGGACCTCAGAAATAAAAGGTCATGTACACTAACATATATAAGAGATGACGTATACAGCTGCACTTTGATTCGTTGTCAATGCTAGTCAACATCTTTTAATTAGCATAATCACCGGAGTAATTCCGCTCCGGTTTTTACTCCAACGCAGGGGGTCGCCTGCAGATGCGTCCAGTGGGGATTTCTTTCGCAGTCACGCTAGTTTTCGCGATCACGTTAAAATGGCTAAATTGACAAATAATTATGTTTTTTTTTGTAAAACAGAAAAGAAGTCCCGACATTGCCAGTCTAGAGTCATGTGTACAGTGCGTGTTTCGCTGGTGTGGAGAGAGCGGTGACGTCATTGCATTATCTTGGAGCTCGTTCTAAGCACATCCGTTCAGTGTACGTCTACAAACATTGCGTGTTTTTGAGCAAAGTCAGT